TCTCTTCTCTTCTCTTCTCTTCTCTTCCCTTCCCTTCTCTTCTCTTCTCTTCTCTTCTCTTCTCCTCTCCTCTCCTCTCCTCTCCTCCTTCCTCCTTTTCTTCCCTTGCCTACCTTCTCTTCTCTTCTTCTCCTTCCTCCTTCCCTTCCCTTGTCTATCTTCTCTTCTCTTCTCTTCTCTTCTCTTCTCTTCTCTTCTCTTCTCTTCTCTTCTCTTCTCCTCTCCTCTCCTCTCCTCTCCTCCTTCCTCCTTTTCTTCCCTTCCCTTCCCTTCTCTTCTCTTCTCTCTTCTCCTCTGCTCTCCCTTTCCTTTCCTTGTTTCTTGTTTCCTTTTCTTCCACAGGCAACGCAGAAATACCCCCCCCCCCTGTTTAAAATGCAACGATAAAGATGTATTAATTACTCGTCCACGCCTGACGCTTTTGATCCCCATTCTTGGTCTGGTTCGCAGGGGGGAAGTTTCAGCCAAACTTCTCCTTTTAGCAGTCAGTGAAAGTGCAGTGTTTGCAAAGCCCCTCCCCTGCCCCCCCCGCAAAGCCTCCAGACAATGGGCTCATTCACAAATCCGGTTCAGGGTGTTGGGAAAATAAAGTTCCTGGCTGCCTGTTTTGCTTGGAGGGCTGGATTGGGCCATGTCTCGGCAAACCAGCCTGACACCAAAACACACGTGCCACGGTTATGCCAAGGCCCGTGCTTGCATCCTTGTGTCCCAGAGTCTGACGTGAGTTCAGTAGTCCTCAAATTACGACCTTAACGGAATCTCTGCCCATTACGGTTGTACGTCGCAACAGTTGCAAAGTGACTCACCACGTGATCGACTCGATTCTACGACCTTTAGTGGCAACGGCCGTTAAGCAAACACAGCTGTCAGAGAGTGAGTACTGTGCTTGTTCAGCGAACACGGTCGTTAAGCGAACTCCTTGCCCGCTACGGGTGCATTTTTACTGGACGTAAATCAGGGCTATGTGGCTGTGTGTGCTGCACGTGGTTTTACAGATAGTCCTTGACTTATGACGACAATGGTGCCCAACATTTCCATTGCTAAGCAGGGCAGTGCTTAAGTAAGTTTTGTCCAGTTTTATGGCCTTTCTTGCCACCGTTGTTAAGCGAATCATTGCAGTGGATAAGTTTAATAGCGTGGTTGCTAAGTGAATCTGGCTTCCCCCATTGACTTTGCTTGCCCGAAGGTCGCAAAAGGGGATCACGTGACCCTGGGACATTGCAACCGTCATAAATGTGAGTCAGTCGCCAAGCATCTCCGTTTCGATCCTAGGGATGCTGCAATGGTGTGAAAAACGGCCGTAAATCATTTTTTCTCTTATAATTTTGACCAGTCACTAAATGAACTGTTGCAAGTCGAGGACTATCTGCAAGAGCGGGCCAGTTCCTGAGTGCCTAAAATGCATTCACAGGACCCTGAGGAAGAGGGGGCGGGGTGTGGCAGCTGTCATAAGTATTTTGTGAGAGGGAGGGGATTTGTTGCAAATTTGACCGGTGGCTAAGGGACGGTCGTAACCTGAGGACTCTCTGAACACGCGTTTGCAACTTTTGCACGATTATGTCATCATGCCAACTTCGTCCTGCGTCCCCAAAGAATGCGCTGCACGTAATTAACTCGGTGCAGAGCTGTGAAAAATTCCTTGGGGCCTCCTGGTGTAAATCTACTCACCAAAAAAAGGAGGGGGAGGTCTTAATGAGACACCTTAATGAACGCAAACCTAATTAAGAGATGGTGCAAACACAGGGAAGCCAACACCTCCGTATCTAATGACTCCACTTAAGCAGATTCCCATCGGGTTCCCTGAAGGAATCATAAATAAATGACAGTTACTAATTGCCCAGATTTTGATCTGGCGACCATGGGAATGCGGCAATGGTCATTAAGTGTGAAAAACGGTCATAAAGTCGCTTTTAAAAGGCTGTTGTAACTTTCAACTGTCATTCAATAAATAGTTGGAGCTTGAAGCAATAGCAATAGCAGTTAGACTTATATACCGCTTCATAGGGCTTTCGGCCCTCTCTAAGCGGTTTACAGAGTCAGCGTATTGCCCCCAATAATAATCCGGGTCCTCATTTTACCCACCTCGGAAGGATAGAAGGCTGAGTCAACCCTGAGCCTAGTGGGATTTGAACAGCCGAACAGCCGAACTGCAGTCAGCTGAAGTAGCCTGCAGTGCTGCATTTAAACACTGCGCCACCTCGGCTCTGCGTATATTTTACTTCTATTATTGTTATTATCTATTTCTATATTTTTAAAATCAACACAAATGCTTAATGAACAGTGCATTGTCTGAGTCGTTTTGCTTATACAAGCTAATATTAATAACGATAATAATAATAATATTGTTTACTTTTATATAATAATAGTCTTTCCTCATTTACTTGTGCAATCTTTTTTAAAAATAGTTTTTTATTGAACATTTTCAAGTTTAAAAAACGCAAGTAAAAAAGGAAAAGAGAAAAAGAATTAAAAGCAAGAAAAAATTGCAAAAACAAATACAAATACACGAACACCATAACAATATAATACACTTTTACAGCTTCCCGTATCATTCGGCTTTTGCGATTTACTCTTCGATTGTTCCCTTCTCATAGTTTTTAACAATTCTGATACTAATGCAATAATTATATTGTAATATGATAGTGTAATACACATAGCCAGATTTTACATATATGCATTTTTCTTCAAAATATAACCAATAGTTTTTAGAACTTTTATCTCTTGCTTTGGCAAGAGATAAAAGTTCTCTAGCCACTTAGATAGTGCAGTCCAAAGAAACAATCTTTTATTTTCTAATTTCTAACTTCTAACTGGTAAAACGCATCCCATGTTGAGAAATAATATGTTTCTTCTTCCTTGTCCTTTATTCTTAGTGTCAAATCTATCTGCACAGTCTAATATCTCTTTGATTATTTTCTCATATGTAGGAGTATCTTCATTCTTCCAATATTGGGCAAATACAATTCTCACCACTGTCAGCGCACGTAATATTAAATATGTATCCCCTTTGCTATAGTTTTCCGGTATTATACCTAACCAAAAATATTTCTGGTTTTAGATCTAAAACCACGTATATTTTGACTTTTTGACCTATGTCTAACCAATGGGATATTTTTTATATAGGTGGGCATTTGAACCCTGCCGTCACTTTTGCGATGTGCTGCATGGCCCGGGAACCTTGGATCAAACTTCCGGTGTACGCCCTGGCTCAAACCGTTGGAGCATTTCTCGGAGCCGGCATCGTGTTCGGCTTATATTTTGGTGAGTCAATTACTTCTTTCTTCCTTGGTTCATGGCCTTCTCCTTTGGCCTCCATCTTCACCAAGGTAGCCTCAATTTCCTTCCCTGCAAAGAAAGATCTATGGAGTTTCTTTGACCTTCAGGTCATGGTTGTTCCTAAAGATGCTTTTCTCAGGAGACAACGTGACTTTTCTTGCTTTTCTTTGAAGACTGATTGATTGATTTATTACATTTATATGCCGCCCTTTTCCCCAAGGGGACTCAGGGCGGCTCACAATTCAATCAGGGAAGACATTTGCTTCCCATCCAAGAAGCTTCTTCAGCTCTGACTGGATGGTGGGGAACGGAAGGATTTATGTTCCTTGCAGACAGCTGGTCATTTGCACCCTTTTAGAGGGTCCTTGAGGCCACTTGGAGGTTTATCTCTG